ACCACAGCTGCTTACGGGGGAGGGGGAAAAAAAAAAACAGCAAGAGAATTTGGAGCACATGTACAAAGCATTAAAAAGTTATGTCGCTTGACACAACGGGAGTAAATAATAAAGACATCCAGTTGGGACAAGCACGCTGAGTAAACCTCAGCTGAGGCCACAGAGGATAAATAAAAACTGACCGCAGGGAAAAGCTTCACTCGTTGCTCTTTGCTGCCCCCTGGAGGCTTCAATAATAATAAGCCAACAAAGGCCACGTGCAGGACGAACGCTATTTCGATTCATTTCAATTTAAGTGAGTAAATTAAGTTACAGCCGCACATTTTGCGAACCAATTTTAGGGACAACATTTCCAAAACAAGATCAAAAGAGTTTCATTTCGGAGGACAGAAATGCTCTTGAGTTGGAGTGGGGAAAGTCAGGTATGATTCACTGCCAACTTTCCTCCATTTAATTTGCTGAATTGAAGGCTGAGGTGATTTGGTGGAAGGGAAATTGAAGCAATCCCGTCCATAAACTCACCGGCACAGAAGATGCGCAACTGCTGGGCGGGCGACACGATGTTGAGATGCGTGGTGAAGAGGTCCACAAAGGCGCCGGGGTACACCACAAACACGAACATGCCGAAGCCGTTCACGCGCACCTGCTCCCTGTGGGCACACGCGCCTCTCTTACAATTGTGGACGCAAAAATGGATTTGACTTTTCACAAATTTGAGATGCAAATAAATTGTTGACTCATGAAATGCCAAGAATGTCCTTCAAAGTCCAGTAAATGTTGAATTAGTTGACGGACAAGTGGGACAGCATGTACCTCAGTGCTGCCACCGCATGGCCCAGCTCATGTATGACGCCACTGAGCAACAGAGCGAGGAAGAAATACGCCAGATGACTTGTGGGTAGGTTGACACCAGGGACCTGCAGAATATTATTTTTTTCTTTGAGAGCAAAATTTCAAATGGTAGGAGAAAAGCTTATTTGCAAAGGTCTGTTGAAAGAATCATGCCATGAATTTTGTTTTTGCCATTATGAATCCCTATTCAAGGAACTACATTCCGTTTCTCGGGATACGTACCACCACCTGCAGGGCCTGCTGGGCTCCGATGCGCGGATTGTCTGTGGTCATCTGAGCAAGGGTCTGCTGAAGCGTCTTCACCAGAAGCACCACCGACGCCAGCATGGCCACTACACCGAACACCAGACCACTGCTGAACCTGGAGAAGATGCGCCCCGGTGACGTTTATTTTTATAGCACAAGACCATACAGTTACATGGTAGTCCTGTCAGTGGCAGGATTGCACTTCACAAAAAGTCATACATGGCAATGGCGAGTGATGAAAAAAGCGGAAGGGGCGTGGCCTGGACGGGGGCGTGGCCTGGACGGGGGCGTGGTTACTTACAAAAGTGGCACTAAACATGCTGAAGATGAAGTGTATTAAATTTACACAGTTTGAAAATTGAACAGAAAAAAAATTCCAAATCGCCACTATTCTTTCAAGTGAAAATTTGTGCAATTTTGCCTATGCATTCCTGGTGAGCACCAATATGTAACTCCAAATTTGCTGCTCAAAATCAAAACTAAAAAAGTAAACACATTCCCTGCCATATTTAAGATTTGTTCATGACTTGTATTCATAAAGTGTTGTGTAAATGTGATAAAAAGCTGTTGATTCTTACCTCATACAGTGATAGTGAATATTTATTATGCATACAATTTATTATGCATAACCGTGCTTTCTTATCCAAGACAAAACGTGAATTATCAATATGAATATAAAACGCAAATAAAAACAAATAAATGTTATCATGCTGTTGCTACAAATGCATACCAAATAAAATTGAAAATATCATCCTCGTATATTTGAATAAAAAAGTATATACCTCGGAGTGTACCTGTCTATCGGCGAGGGGCGTCAGTGGAGC